CAACACCAAAGGGAACAGGTGCTACTATGTGGGAAGGGGAAGTCAGTTGGGATTGGGATGGATGGTCGGGAGAAGAGCTGAGCATGATAGCCGCGGGGGAAGTGGTGCACATGCAGGAAGCACAACAACAGCAGCAGCAGCAGCAACAACAACAACAGCAACGACAGCAGCAACAACAACAGCAACAACAACAACAACATCAACACCAACATATGATGCTTGAAAATCAGGAAGAGTTTGATTGGAAGGAGTGGGATCAGGTTTTTGGTCGCTTCGTGGAGGTTGAGGATCAGCGGGGTACCAGCCCAGAGGTTGCCTGGCTTATGGACACGGAATAGTTTGGTCCTGTTTTCAGTTTTTTTTCTATTTCTTTTCCTTCCGTTGTTTCTCTTGTTTGGGCTTTGGGATGACTGGTTTGGGGTTCTTTGTTTTCAGGCGTTTTACCAGGGGGGCTTGGTTGTGATAAAAGGCTGGGGCCGTGTGGGTTATTGGAGTTCATGAGGCTTTCCTATGTTGGTTGGACAAGATACTGGGATTGGCTTGGGATTGGCGCTGCATCAGTGGAAAGGGATACCTGGGTTATTACTGGTTTGGGGAGGGGGTAACGGAACAGGACAGGCAAAGCGTTTAGATATGGTGAGCGGCGTGGGGGTTTTGGAATTTTGTTTTTCTTTCGGGGGTGGAATAACAATGATAGTCTTGTCTTCGGCGTACGAGTCCTGTCTTGATGCTCTTGAAATCCGAAAGAACGCTGGCCAACAGGCTGGTATTGTCCACAATCCTGGAAACCGCGGCCATGGGTGTCATCTTTTGGTGAGCAGGCTACACCCAGTCGCAGCCACGCGAATGACGCGGAAAAACCGCCCGAAAATCAGTAGATCAGTGAAGCGTGGACAATTGCCAGTCGAAGAGAAACTCAACAGCGGTGGCAACGACCGCCGTTAGCGGGGGTCTCGGGATGCCAGTACGGATTTAGAAGGTTTCACCCGCTGCCGTCAGCGCAGATCGCACCCTCGAGTCGGAAAAAGAAAATACCGCAGTCAAAATAGAGGGGTTCGGAATCTCATTCAAACTTGGACGTTAACAGCATTCTGTTTCGCCAAGCCTGCTGCAACTGCGTTTGACAGCCTGTTCTCCGTCGAACCTGTTTTTTTTTTTTTTTTTTTTCGCACCCCACCTCTCCTCCGCACCCACTCCGAATCGCAAGGGAAAATCGGAACCAGTTATGTTGTTGATAGTCTTGTTGATAGGATGGAAAGTATCGTCGTGTGACGTAAAGACACATACGGGCGAGAAGCAGCTGCCTAGCAACACTTGGGCGGCGAGAATGAGGACCCGGATGGCTTGTCTATCTGTTGGATAGCAGGTTTTGAAAGCTGGAAGCTTGGGTTTTCTGGATGCATACATGTATACTATAGGTAGGGACTTGAGTACTTACGTACCATGTACCGCGCTTTCAAAACGTTCGTGCATCGATGCTTTTTGGCATGGTATCCTTTGGTGCGGACCTGACGACATCCTATGCAGCGGCGGAATTCGAACTGCAGCGCCGAGACGTGGATCTCAGCCGCATGGCTCTCAAGGCCGATAGCTGGCAAGCCACAGTAGCCACTTTGAGGCGGTGCCAGTCGAGTGATATCGAGTGATTGCTAGAACCTCAGACGCAGTTGCTTTGCTCCTGCAAGGAAATGCGGACGAGAAAACTGCACATGCTAGCTAACGGTCCTCAGTAACACGGCCACAACCGCCGAGGCTTGTTAAGTTTTCGAAATCTCGGCCGTGACGGAAACTTTAGGACGGCTTGGCTGTTGTCATGTCAGCTTTTTGGCGTCTACTGTTTTTGAATTACCGGGCAAAAGAACCACCCGAACCGATTTGCAAGTGATCTGGTATGACCGGTTGGCTTGTCAATCGACTCCTTCAAAGTGGGGGAACCAAGGACGCGCACGCCACGGAAAGTGGGGCAAACGGTGTTGAGGGTCGTGGATGGGTCCAGCGAGTGCCTGTGGGAGAACTACGGGTTGGTCCCGCGTTTTGCTCAACGGTTGGTGATCCTGAAAACCACAGTATGCGCGGCTCGTCGTCGTCATCATCAACTGTAATAGGCGTGCAGCCTACAGTCCCAGTTGGGAGCTTTCCGACTTCAGATCATCACCGCGAGCTTGCGTAATGTTGGCCGGTAAGCTGGTTCTCGTGCGAAGCGACCGATCGAGGTGTGTATAAGAGACGGCTGCGGCCGCCCGCTTTCGATGGCTTGCTCCTCAGTTCGAGGGGTCCAGAGGCGGTAACAGCGTGGTGGAAAGCGGCAGCGGGGGAGGATTATGGAGAGGGAGGAAGTGCGGGGGGCTGTTCAACGCGACCGGATAAAACCCAGTGGACGAGACGATGGAGCTGGTGGATCGAGAGGGACTTGATTGCGCAGGGATCTCCGTTCACTATCGACGAAACAACTATCGAATCAAGGCACTTCCATTTGGATACTCGGCAGAAACGTTCCAACAAGTCCAGCGGTTGTATCAGGACCTGGTTCAATGACTCCTGCCTCATGGACTAAGGCCATCGAACTACGGAAAGTCGCCTGGGTCGGGCAGACATGATCAGGCCCAAGGGGAGAAGTTGAGATGCTGGATATGGGACTCGAGGCAGCCGGCGGGCGTGGTTTTGGGTAGAGCTGGATGGAAATGAGTCTGAACCAATTTTGCGGATACAGGTATTCTCACAGCAATAGCCGGCTCATCATGCTCCGACGACGACGCAGCCCTTGGTCAATCGACATGTATGTACGAGTAAACGTCGACGACTGGGCGGGTGGCAACGGAAGCCAGAGATGGTATTATGTATATATTCCCCGTTCACTGTGGCTGCAATTCATGCTCCACACTAGCATTGTCCCAATTGAGCGGGGGTGGTGCATCACACGATACCGGATCTACTCGATAATCGACTCTCAACCAATCTTCTTGAGTGGAGTTTGTGTTTCACCACCTTGCGGTGATTTGCAACCGCGGTCCTGCTGTGTATGTATATATACTCCAGGCTCGGTCTTCCCTACTTTTACTCAAATGTATCTATTCAAAATGTCGGTTTGTACTCGTAAAGTACTTATGTACAAAATTCACCATATACATTCCGGATTGTTACGTTTCAGCAATCCCTTCAAACAATGATGGCAAAAGTCAACCTACATAAGTTGCTTCTTGGCCACTGAACTCTGAAGCCGGCTCTCCATAGAACTAGGAAAATTCCGGTGGTTGTATATGTGTCCAGAGGTGTCAAAACATCTCGTCATTATGCTTATTGACGGCAAGTACGTGGCCCAAGCTCAATTTGGAACTACCTGCATATTAACCAAATACCCGAATATCGTGTTCGCAGACATAAGTAGCCCGATCACCGTGGGGTTTTCGACCGAGTGACAATTCGAGTCTCGGCGATTATGCCGTGACCCGCTGCCCGATTAGGGCAGCACGGCACCCCACATAAAGACTTACTGACTCACAATAAATGTATCTTTCCCCTCCGTTTGGGCACTTGTTTTTGTCTGTTCTCGCTTCTTTCTTCCACGTTCATCTTTGTTTCATGTTTATAGCAGTGGACCCTGACACCCGCAAGTAGCTGTGCACGGACCACATGCAAAAAATAACCCAGGCACACGACAAATCTTGCCCCGCCGCTTCCCCCACCCGCAACCACCCCCCTTGCGATGTCGTCCTCTATCCCCGGTCCTCGCGACCTTCCCATCAGTCGCCACGACCTCTCAACCTATTGGGGTCGGGTTCTCCACAGCGCCGACCTCTGCGATCCTCGGTATAGTCCTTCTTTGCCTCTCAACCATCTCTCCGCGCGCGCTAACAACTACAACTGCAGCACCCTCTTCGCCACCTCGGCCTCCCTCGAAGCCTCCAAGTCCCTAATCTCTGCCTACAAACATGGCGAGATCCCGTCGATGACACCCGCCGTCTGGTCCGCCAAAAAGATCTGCGACGCGACTCTACACCCTGACACCGGCACACCGGTCCTTCTTCCCTTTCGCATGAGCGCGTTCATCTTCTCCAACCTCCTCGTTACTGCGGGAATGTTGCAACCCGGTCTTACTACGCGTGGAGTCATCGGATGGCAGGTCACCAACCAGACGCTCAACGTCTGCATCAACTCTGCGAACGCGAACAAATCCTCCCCGCTGTCGATCGGTCAGTTGGCGACCAGCTTTGTACTTGCTGTGTCGGCTTCGTGCGGAGTTGCGGTTGGACTCGGCAAGGTGGTGGGTAACCTAAAAGTGGCCGACTTTGTCGACGGCAAGAAGGTCGGAAAGGGTGTTTCACCGGGGATGAAGGCGGTGCTGGGTCGTTTGGTTCCCTTCGCAGCGGTGGCGACTGCGGGTATCGTCAACGTCGGGTTGATGCGCGGCGGAGAGATTGCCGCTGGAATCGACGTCTTCCCGATGAAGCCTGCCGAGGGCTCCGCCAAGGAAGGCGAAGAGGTGTCGTCGGAGAGCCTGGGAAAGTCGAAGATGGCGGCGATGTTGGCGGTGGGAGAGACGGCGGTTAGCAGGGTTCTCAATGCTACGCCTATCATGGTCATTCCACCGCTCATCTTGATGAGGCTGCAACGGAGTGAGTGGATGAAGAAACGGCCAGGAATGGTGGTGCCGGTTAATATTGGTATGTTTTTCGCTGTGGTTTTTTTGACAAGAGATCCAGGACTGATTCAGAGTTTACAGGTCTCATCTTCATCACGTCAGTTTTCGCGCTGCCGTTGGCGCTCGGTGCCTTCCCTCAGCGCCAGGCTGTCAAGGCGGAGAGTCTCGAAAAGGAGTTTCACGGACGCGGAGGAGAGGGCGGAAAAGTGGAGTTCAATCGCGGTATCTAGAGCGCTTGTTGCGGATACTATGGAGTTTGGCGTAGATAGACTAGACATAGATCCGAGGGGGACGTGGCGCTTAGTCCTCATTGCGGAATGACCACTTTATGTGGCGATTAATTAAATTTCTTTCGTAACCAGTCAAGGTGGTGGAGTGGTTAACACGTTCGCCTGCTATTTCAAGTAAAGCGGATGCCTTCGGGCGCGCAGGTTCGAATCCTGTCCTTGACGCGATTGGCCGTTCTTTTTTGTTTTTCTCCATCCGCTCCATAATATTCTTTCTTTCTGCTTTCTTCGGCGGGATGAGTAGAGGCCATATAGAGTGATATGATCCGACTGCTATGATAAGGCGGGCGGTGAGATGCCCGGTTGCCGACCTGCATCTTACTGTACGTACTCTAGTACCCCTCAGTCGCTTGCCCTCTTTTCTTTTCACAACAAGGTCATTCTCTCTCCTCCAGAGTTGCTTCTCTAGCTACCGGCATGTTGAGAAAATCTACTGACGGATATCAAAACTACGCAGCCACGACCCATCAAAAAACAGAGACACACTGGCAACAATACATACCAAACAGAATGAAAGCGGTATTGGGAGCAGATAGACTAGCTATTAACCTTTTTTCCTGGCGGGGCGCGGCGTTGTCACTGCTGCGCAGTTTTGACATCCGTCAGTACTTGTGATTCCAGGGACGTCCCGACCATCCTCGTAGTGCCAAATACGACTATGTTACCCCAAGTGAGTTGAAATTGGGTGGACAGAGAGGGCGAGGGGCCAATGGGCCGTTCATTATAACTCTTTGGTCGTATTGGGCACTTTCGACACTGCGATCGCGAGGGATATGAACGAGTACTGAAGCAAGCAAGCAGGCAGATCCATCGTCATCTGCTTGCTCCAGCCAGACAGACCCACATGCTCCGATGCTGTATTACTTCGGTTTTCGCTCTCACTCCAGCCCCAGTGGTGGATTTCTGGCCTATATATAGTCAATTGCCGCATCTTTCGCTTCACACACGAGTCGGATATAGTAGACTGGAGCGAACTTTGGGGGTGGGACAAAATTTTGCGGTGACAGTGTGGTACAGCAGCGAAATTCAAAGTAACACCCGGAGAGTGGCAGATATTCAGGAGAGGAGTGACGGAGATTGTGCTGGGACTCGGAGCACTGATGAGTTGTCGGTGACATATTTTTGCTATGAAACACAGCTTCGGTGACATTTTGTAATCCTAGGTACAGCGAAGCAATGACGGTGAAAATAGGTTAGCTTTCCACGTACGAACAGGGTGATATTCGATCTTTAAAGTTCGCTACAGTACAAACAGACCGGGAGGCTGTTGCTCGAAAACCCTAACCCATTCTTCGGCATTTGACCATATAATACGATACTCTAATATTACTCCCCTCTTTCAACTCGAGTCAGGCCGGTAAACGTACAGGCACAGCCCCGAGCAAATGATTTCGGGAATTCGCTGTGCTGGTGGGAAGGGGGAATCTTCAGAGGTAGGTGGATGGTGTCACACTGTCTTTGTTTGTATACTCTCATTTTTGTTTGTTTATTTTTAGGGACGGTGTATTGTAGGTAGTAGGGAGTCCGTCATGTGTACCTCCAAACGACTCTACTGGGCATCAATCTTGAAAAATTGTTTACAACTTCTCGGACTACAGTAGAAAAAAAAAGACTCGATCATTTTATTCCCTTCCACATAGCTCTCCGACCCTACAGTGTACCCAAAGCCCGTCAGACTCAGCATCTAACTACTCCATTCTTCCACGTCGCCTCCCCTTATCGATTGGTCAACTGCAGCAACCCAAAATACCAGACGCACCTGCATAAAAGAAAGGTATAAATGAGGTGACAAAGGGAAGAAACAGGTCCGTAACAACGTGAAAAGAAAATACAAGCTTCGTTCTCGGTGGCTTCGGGGATAAACTTATTGGAACAGCCGCACCACGTCCTCGTGCCTCCTCCTGGCCGCTCAATGCCGCGGAGTCAATCCACTATTGTCTTAGGGGATCCACTAAGCACAATCGTATCCGCTCATCTTTGTTGAGCAAATTCTGTGGGGACTGGAGAAGAAATTCTTTCACAGATAAATGGGTGAATCGCAGTTTGTCACCGTCAAAGATTTCGACTAATGAGCCACATGCATGTAACATCTGGGCCCTGTCTGCAAGGAGTTGTTGAGATGACCTTGTTAATGATGTTTTTTCCTTTGTCACGAATTTCCTTGGCACGTCTTCTATATCTGGTGCGCCTCTCCTTAATTACCTTTCCTTAGACGTGCCGCAGGCACCAGCAGTAGGCAATGCCTAAGGTGTAGCATAGTCGCGTCTCTCCTACATATGTCATGGCCGCAAGCGGCCGAACACAATATGATTAAAACAAAATCTGCAAGGAGTTTTTCATTTGGGTCAAAATATTTTTCCCCAGTTTCGGTCGCGTACGCATACGCCATCTCATCCACGGTCAATGGCCTCGTAGCCATAGCAACCCACAACAATATTTCTCGACGTAGTTCTGCAACATCTAGACTCCAGTCCAGACAAAGGAACATGACATCGTACATTCCGTTGAGTCCTGCCGGCATGTTCTGGAGAATATCTATGATCTTTTGTTTGGACGGAACCTGGAGCTCCTCCATCATACCGAAACATTCCCCCGGCGTTCTTCTCGATCGCGGAGCTAATACCCTTCTCGAAACCTTGCAACCGTGTATTCACTACCACTTTCTCTTTTATGAACTCTCCAATATCGCGGGCCGCCTTCATCTCAATGGTAGCTATGCCTGGGATGTTTGGTAAGCCCTTTTCTATGTCTGCTTCCGGGCGAGTTATGAGGAAGGAACTTCCCCAGTCAGATGCTTTGCAAGAATATAATGATCCTTACAGTCATCTAGTGCGTCGAGAAGAACCCTCACTTTGGTTGGAACGGCCTGAAGCAGAGTGATGAACACCCCCAAATGTTTGCAAGTTTGTGCACCTTTTCGAGTTGACGTCGTCATGAACGTCCTTCAAGATGTCGGTCAACAGTTTTTTCAGATCCTGAGAATCCTGCACAGACATGACCAACAGATCATTGAGACTGGCCATCATCTCTGCCACCTCTTTGGTCTTTGTAGCGCCATTCTTGAAGAAGAAGTACAGGACCGGGGCTACATCGGAATTTTCGAGATCTTCTGGGTTCCTGCAAAAGAAACATCACAGATGGAAGAGGGCTAATCTACCTTTTATGGGGCCCATAGTAGTCATATCTGCGATATCTCGGACTTTTTGCTGACTCGTGTCGATGTCTTCGAGGAAAGGCTGAAAAAGGACAGAAAACGGAGTCAACGGGGTCGTCAACTTCGCCAAAGCACACAAGCAATAAGTTAATTAAAACCCCTGCGCTCAGGGAAAGCATCTTACCAAGCCCAAGTAAACGGAAATATTCCTTTGCTTTGACCGAAAATACCAACACCGCAGCGTAAAACTCGGGTAGAGCATCTTCCATTTGTTTTCGGGACGCCGTCGTCGCTTCTTCGGAATTGAGTGTAATCTGAAGGGATTCTGTATAGATCTTTTCGTAGAATTCGCAAGCAGCCACCTTTGGGATGATGGTCTCCATGGTGTCGTTCAGGCTTTTTAATGCTTCGAAGTGATTGAGGGCAACCTAATCTCATCAGTTTGAATCTATGGGCCGTCGGCCAGAGAAAGGGAGAACACGAGCCTGAAGAATAAAGCGAGCAGCCCACGCAAGTGAACTTTTTTTCACAATCCGTCAGCAAGCTATATCGGACTTTGAAGATTAGGCAGACTGACCTTATTTCCGGGTTATGCTGGATCGACACATCGACGATTTGTGCATACTTGTCAATTCCTTTCAAGATCCTCTCGACCTTGTCTTCCACAATTTTTTCTTGCCCAGTCGCATCCGTGAAGGTCCATTGCTTCTCTTCCATCTCCCTTCTGGCCTCTTCTGCAGCTTTAATAGGGAATCCACATTGCGCTGCGCAAGGACTCGGGGGTCTATATTGTCCCATTCGGCGTTAGGCAGCTTTTCTTTAGCAATATCAAGGGCTGCCTTCCAGTTGGCTCTGTTGGGCTGGCAATTAGCTCTGTTAAACGGGTGTTGTGCAGATGGTGATGACTTACGTTATTCAGGCATCGGAGATTGGACTCGGGCTGGGAGGGTTGCTCTCCGAGGTGGTGCGTCGGACCTGGGGGAGTACCCGGTCGGTCTTGCAGTGTGGAGACAGGCTGTGCTTGTTCAGAAGAAGCAGTCGATTGGTCTTGCGGTATTATGAATACAGGTGGTGTAGGTTCTGGAAGAGTTGCCTGTAGGTCTTGCTGCAAGGACACTGGTGGTATTGGTCTTGGACAAGCGTCTTGTGATAGGGAAGTTGAGATGCTGAGACGGCAACGCTACAGAATCCGTACAATTTGACGCTGATTATCCTTCCTGGCTGTAGCCACCGGGGTTCGCTGCTTATTCGAAAAGAACTGGCGGACCTTTGCCCGGCCGCCCGAAGTTTCGCACGAACGGCGTTCATGATGCCGGTGTAAATTAGGTCTACGTGGTGTGGCAGAGATGGATCATGGGAAATTCACCGTTTTATGGATTTTGGGCGGCTGAGTGCCTGTGTAGAGTAGCTGCATGTGCCATCCTGCATCAATGGCGATTGCATGTTACGTTTAAATAATTCATTGGACCTACGTATCCCCTCGTCCGTAGAAATCGGGCTTTCTGGCCAATTTGACAGGATCCGCGTTACGGACGAGCGGGTAGTACTCTAGGTACTTTATATAATACATACGACCTAGGTACTATGACCACCTTTCATGTGCTAGGTTTGCTTTGCTGCACGATCTCATTCTTAGATGTACATACTTAGGGCTAGCATTTATATAACCAAGAATGCAAGTGCAGCAAGTGGCTGAAACTTACTCGACAGAGAGATTATTGAGGTGCAAATCACCACATCGGGAAACCACACTTTTTAGATATAAATGCCGGCCCCGAATACTTAGATATCTAGTTATCTGCCTAACCCGCGACGCGAACGAAAATGCAGCAAGCGCTCACTCAGAATCTGCGTTCCAAACTGGTGATTTGGTTCCACTGTTGATGTTGGTCACCACACCATTGGTGCGAATAAAATTTTGTTTAGGGCGTTGCCGCGCGATTTTCAGCTCGTCCTGTAGCGAGGAATAGGCTGGGTGGAAATTCGGTCACATTCGATTGGTCGAGCTCAA